CAGGAAACGCATCTCCGTGTCTTGCTTGATGCCTTCGGTAACAAATCTTGTACCAGCTTTCACAAAGTGAGGGCAGAAAAGCCACCAGAGCCCGTTCTGTAGTTCAGCGCTGCTGTAGCCAACAGCTCTGTGTATTGAAGTTGCCCTAAATGTGTTATTCCTGTTACCTGTGTCTGCTACCGATGTTGTATTTTAAGTGTTTCAAATTCCGGGTTCGAGTCTTGATTGCTGGGTGAGTTTCAGCGGAGTAATGCATTATGTGTTATCAGCCCAGTGCAAAGCCACGGCTTCAGCCGTGCGGTCTCTGGTCCACTCCAGCGGGATCAGGCCGTGCCGGGCGCCGCCGGCCGCAGGACCAGCTGGGGCTGTAGGGACAGCGCAGTTTCTTCCATGATATGCGCATGTCCTGAATTTGGAAATTCAAGGGGAAAGGCTGCATTGCATGTATTTTCACCCCTCTGTCCTGACATTAATCTCTCTCTTAGGAAGAAAATAATAAACTCTGAGCTTTAGTTACTGGCTTAATCTTTTAAGGATTTATTTGACCAGCCCAACCCATGATTCCTTAGTGTAAAATGTGTAGGTAACAATTTCCTAGCATTGTGAAGGCATTTCTCCCTCATGTACAGAAGGTTGCTTCTTACACCTATCTACTGAATTGTGAAATCAGAAATTCCAAATTTATATGCAAATTGATGCAATTGTTTTCTAGTGAGACATTTTTTAAAAATGCTTTTGTGACAATAGGAAAATGATACCAAGCTAGAGTGTTTCTACATGCAGTCCGTACACTACTTCTGAACAGCGTTAAATAGAGCTTACTCTGGTCCGTACACTTTTTCTGAACAGCGTTAAATAGAGCTTACTCTCTCATTTAAAAATGAGAACAAAGTTGTTCGGTATGTATCATCCCAAAGTTCTGCAAAAAAGACTGAAACACCTGTATTAGAAATGCTTCACTACTTGTTTCACCATTGAATATTTATTAAAAAAACAGACTAAATATTCAAACATATTAAGAAGGTAATCCGCATCACAATAAAACCTGCTCTTTGGTTCTCAGATACTCTTGCTTTATGTGATCCATGCTCATGATAGTCATACAAGGTGGACAGTATTAAAGTATGAAGAAGTCTATCCTTTACTGAAGATCTCTAGGTACATTTCCAGAAAGTAATTTTATTTTATATTCAGTGTTTGCTGGCAGAGCAAAAGTGCCTTAAGTTTGTTTTTATTTAACTCTGTTTAATCACTGAAAGAACCAATGCTAGATAATAATGCTAGATCTAATTTTCCCCAAGCCTTTCCTCTCTTTTTTTGCGTGGTCATTGGAGACTGAATACTGTAAATGTATTTAGGCACTTACATGCCTATGGCTGCCTTTGATTAAACTTACTCCAAGAACGAACTCAGTCCACCTGTAAGACTTTGTTAACAGTCATTCATGCTGTATTTCTTATTTCAAATGACGTGAACGTATGTTACTGTGAAATCACTGCCAAGATGGTTCTTCGCTGTGCACTTGTATGCGCCAGAATCTGAGGGTTGGGGGTTCTGGATGAGCAACGTCCCATGGGGATGAAGCCGTTCGCTCCCAGATGCTCGGCCCTGGTTACCTGTAGAGAGTACCGAGTGGTCAGGTAATTCCCAGGTAATGTCTGGTTTTGGTATTCCCAGTGCTACACAGTGGAGCTGAACTGCGGCACCAGGCATCGTGTGTATGGTCTGCGGTGGTCTGTTTGTAATCCTCGGGGGATAGGCTACAATAACAACGGGAACGGTTATAGAGGAATCCCCAGCATCATTGTGGGCCTTACACAGGTAATTTCCTCTGTCGTGAATGGTGGCTTCTCGTATAACCAAAGTGCCGTTTTCCAGCAGTATGTATTTTCTGTTGATCTGCGGCCGATCCAGCACGTAGCCACCCGGCAGAGTCCACGCTGTACTGGGTCTGGGACTCCCATCAGACAGGCAGTGAAGCGACAGCGACTCCCCGCTAACGCCCTTCACTGGCCCTGTCGGGTGAGTGAGAATATTGGGCTTCTGGCCGACCTCCAAGATGACCAGCTTTTCAATATAGCCAACTTTATTCCTGGCAGCACAGCGATACTTCCCTGCTTTGTCTCTGTCAGGATTATAGATGGTAAGGGTACCATTGCTACCTGTGAGAAACTGGGAAGTCTTGATGCCACTGGAAAACCATGTGCCATTAGGCAACATCCAGCTTATGTCAGGTGGAGGGTTTCCATCCACAGAACAATTCAATGTGGTAGGTTTTCCAGGTTTTGCTATTATTTTTTCATTGAATGGGTTTTTGAACATTGGTCGCCTTAGCATTTCTAATACCTCCAGCTGCACCACCAACATACTCTCTCCCCCATCATTACGTGCCACGCAGATAAAATCTGCTGTGTCAGAAGGCCTTATGTTCCGAATCTCAAGTGTCCCGTTTTTGTGTACTACAATCCTGCTCCCATAATACGGAGCTGTTAGGAAAATGTTATCAGGCATGATCCACATAATCTGAGGGGGAGGTGTCCCTTCTGCCCTACAGTCAATTTGTTTCCTCGAATGCCTCACTGCCGTCACTTTCATGATTGTTTTGTTCACATATAAACCATTTATGATAGGTGGTTTGGCAACAACATCCAGTTTATACAATTTCGTATCATCCCCTCCAGGATTACGAGCAACACACATATACGCCCCGGCATCCAACAGTTTGACTTGACTGACGGCTAGAGAACCATTGACGTGCAGGAAGTGTCTGGCTGTTGACGAGGAGATCATGTCACTGGAAGGTAGCAACCAGAATATTTTTGGCTTGGGTTCTCCAGCGGCTTCACAGTCCAGTAATGCTGTATCTCCAGCTTTCACTTCAATGTATGTCTTGTAATTGTGCTTTATCTGAGGGGCTGCCATGACGACCGTGATGCGTATCTTCATTTCATCTCTTCCCAGTGTGTTTTGAGCGTAGCAGGTATAATCTCCTCCTTCTGTTACTCCAACTTTGTTGAAATACAGAGTTCCATTGTCGAAGAGGACGTATCTGCGAGACCTGCGTCCACTGTCATCTGCCAGCATCGCGTTATTGATCACCGTCCCATCTGGCAAACTCCAGGATATTTCTGGTGCGGGTGACCCAGAGGCCTTGCAGTCCACTTTGAAATCTTTTCCGTACGGCACCAGTTTCTTGAAATACTGTTTCTGGTCAATCTTGGCTGGTTTCATTGTGATGCTGACTTTCATCAGTATCAGATCATCTCCAATTTTGTTTCTTGCGACACACAAATAGTCACCTGCATCCTTTTCAGTAACTGCCTCAATAACCAAGGATCCATTGGGGTAGACGTGGATTCGACTTCCCATTCTGTTGCGGGGGGAGAAAGAGGAAAAGAATTATGGAACAAAACGCTGGAGGTGAATACTGAGCACTGAAAGTGACTGACAGTATTAATAGCATGATACGATACAGAATCATAGAATCATTAAGGTTG